TCTCTATACGATCGTTGGATGCAAAGATACCCAAAAATTTGAAGTTAATTCGGATTATCCGGATTTAATCCTATGATAATCCGGATTGATCTGTGCGGATCACGGATTGTAAAATTTCATCCGGATCGCATCTCTAGGGATAAGCACTCCACCTACATCAAAAACCAATCAGACTAATGTACAAGTCCAATCTAAACCAACTTATGACCGCTCTTATTTTCGTAGCAAAACATTGGATCAATATCCTAATTTATATAGAGAATTTAGTAGTGAAAATTTCGATTATTATGGCATTACTGATAAGACATCATGTCCGTTATGCAGTTTAGATCATGATGATGAGGAAAGCATAGAAGGTAGATATCACAGGTAGAAAGCTGACCAATCGGGTACCATCCCGATTGGTCACTTTTTTTTAAATAGTCACCTGATTTGTTCAATAGTTAGAAATTGGTGTAAACTTTCGATCAGGTACCAATCAGGTTATTACCCGATTGATAACTATTGTTTAGTTTAAATTTACCGATTGATTTCTATTGTACTGTTTAAATTTAAAATTACCAATTTTATAATTTATAAATTTATAAACAATGTTTTAATTATATTGAAACTAAATTTATTAATCAGTATTACTAGAAATATGAATTTACCGATTTAAAACTAATCATAACATTATTACAAATGAAATTGTCTATTGATAGGTATGACTGCCATGTAAGTAATCAGTTTTCGGTTGCCTATTGTAAATTTACAAGGTAAAAATCGGCTATATATATTATGAATCGGTATAATACAATCTCTTGATAATTCGTGAAAATAATCTTTCCACAATTCAATATTACAGCTTTTATCATCCTGATTGTCGATTCTGCAATGAAATCTTGTTTTTTCCCTCGGTACCCACATATACCATTTTATAAAAGCAAGTCGATGTGTCTTTGCACCGGTTGGAAGCGGAACTGTGTGCTCAAAATAAAACTGCACTTGTCCGGGAAAAATATCGACAGATTCATCATCTTGTATAAACTCTGTCTCTTATACACATCTAGATGTGTATAAGAGACAGNGGTTGGAAGCGGAACTGTGTGCTCAAAATAAAACTGCACTTGTCTGGGAAAAATATCGACAGATTCATCATCTTGTATAAACTTGCTTGTGATATATGAACTTCTTTGATATCGAGGTGCAAGTGCAGATCCAAAGATTTCAGTAGCAATCTGAATATGACCGAATTGAGACACATTGGGCGATACAACGATTGGTTGATTTTCAGAATTGCTTGATGTTAAATTATTTGAAACAAATTCGACAATTGATACAAAATCCCTATTGTATGTATCATTGTAATATTTTATCAGAAGTTCATATATAGTATCTGGTAACGATACTTGCTTTTTTGGGTAATCATTTCTCCGGAAAATTCTTCACAACTGGTAATTGTAACGTCAATATTTTGATGAAAGGTTCGCATAAATCGGTAAAGTTCAGCAAAATCGAACCCATCGTAAGCCGCTAAACTTCCAGTAGTTGGCCTATTTTGTACCAGAGATAATGCTTCCATCAATTTTGGATTATCTGATTGGGCGGATATTAGGCAATTTAAATCGAGCAGAAGTTTTGCTCAGGAAACACTGTGAATTTTGCGTGATGATTCGCATCAATTCTAGTTTAATAGCTCGCTTACTATTTGGAAAAGAACCTACAGCAAGATGATAAATAAATTAATTCATTTATACCATTTATTAAATTTAACTTATACTGATAACTTATACTGATTTATATATACAGTATATTTACCTAATAATCCGTTCATTCTTTCAAACGAGTAACACCAGAAAAAATATAATGGGCCATAATCATGGCAACAATCGACAATATGGAGTGATAAATGGATGTTTGGAGTTATCATCTCTTTTCCGTAATACGTTTCAATTAAATGAGCTAAAGCAATCGGCTATGAGCTTCGCGCAATGCATTGGTGGTGATAATTCGACAGACAAGCAAAGAGCAAGCTCTTACAAAATTTGCTAATATTTCACGATCAGAAGTATCTAGGAGATCCCACATCAATGGAGTCTCGTAAATTAAAATAAACGATTTCCATTGATCGGCCATAAATCCAGAAAACCCTTCCCCAGTTGCTATTTTATACGGAATCCTTCCGATATCTGCTGGTACTTTAAGAGCTTTTGCTCTTCTTTCCATTAATTCAAGGTCCTTTTTAGTGATTTTTCTGCTATCTATCCATAATTTCTTTACGATCTAATGAGCAATCCCCAGGAATAAACAGTGCATTGGGTTGACAATAAGATGTCTTATCGGATTGAAATAAGGCAATCTTAGCATTTCCGACCACTGCACGTGAGTGTCGGAAACATGTTTTTTTCTTTCTTCCTGAGTTCTGCACTGTCTCTAAAGTTCGGCATTTCGTCAATGCTCATTTGGATCTCTGGAAATGTACCAATCATCCATATCGTCAAACCCACCAAAATTAAACCTTCTTCCGCTGCTATTGGCTGTTTTGTAGCATCAATGACAACCGACCAGTGCCGAAATATGTCCACATAATTTTCTAGCAGCTGGTATGTCATTTCTGCAGCAAATTACGGCCATCCGAATTCTTTTACCAGATGGTAGATCGACACCATCCCAGAATTCTAACAATTCGTTGACAATTGGACTAAGAAAATGATTAATCTTGTGTAATTTTACTTCTTCCGGTCCTGGGAGAAGTCCAAGATATAGCATGTTTTCTTGTTTAAATCTAATATCACAGGGAAGATTACATATGACCCCATAGATAACACCAGAACTGTAAGCTGACGAATTAAATGGCTAGAACCAGTCTAAATTAATCATGATCCCAAGATTAGAATTGGCCGTCTCATTTGTAAAAAATCGAGTATCCAGGTTGTTTAAGGAAAATGGAAAGCTTTTCCATACATCTTTATCGTAAATATCGGTGTATAAGCCTGGTTCATTTCTCCAATTTGTCCATTTCTGAAGTGATTCTTCAAAGCCTGGGCGTTAATACATCACAGTCAATTGCTTTTTCAAAGATGGTATCGGATATAACATTCTGGGTCTTCAGATAAATCCATTAACTACTGGGACTTTATTAATTAATTCTGTTCCACATATCCGCCTTTTATTATGCATAGGATAGTTAGGAAATTCCACATGAGTGCATTGGAATCCGGTATTTGTGGATTTCCTGGCAAAATTTCTGATATTTTGTTGCATTCAGGACATACCGCACATGTCCTATCTCGTTTATTAATTCCTAAAAGTTTTTTTGCCATATAAAAACTTGTAGGGAAATTTTCAAAACGTGTTTGATCAGTATCCAATAATACCATCCTGAAAACTTAATAAGTGACTTAATAGCAACATCCGGAACACGAAATCTCGCTTGGTATTTGAATATCCACAGAAGTATCCACGAATCATTAAAATTAATGTTCATGTCAAAATATTCATGGTCTGACTCAAGATCATTAAAATCAGGAGCGGTAAATTCTTCAATTGGAACATCGTCCTCATCTGTAGTAGAAGCTCCATCATCATCGCTCGGTACTTTATCTTCAAGTTGAACTGGTTTCAGTTTATTAGGTTGTTCAAGATTTACATCACGAAACTTATTGTGGCGTTTTCATCTTTTCGGTCCATCAATCGGCTCATTATCAGTTTCATTATCGTTTTCATCATCATCATTTCGTTCCAATTCATCATTATCATTTCGTTCCGATTCTTCATCATCGTTTCATTCTGATTCACCATTATCGTTTCATTCCGATTCTTCATCATCGCTTCGTTCCAATTCATCATCATCATTTCATTCTGATTCTTCATCATCATCGGTATCTGATAAATTCTCAACAACTCTAGTTCTTCTTTTTTTTCTTTCTTTAGAACTGTTGCTAGAATTGCTTTTTTTTCTTTCTTTAGAAATGTTATGTTTTTTGCCGGTTCCTCTTAATCAAGAAGCTTGAGATCTGGTAGCGATGGCTTGGAGTTGTTCTATTTCTTTGCGATGTCTCTCAAATGTTCTGGGATCCACCAATTTACTACCTCCGCAATGCAATAAACATTTACATTCAACCAAATTTCTAGTTTTAGGACCACTTTTAGTTACTTTCGAACGATCTCTATTAACACGATATTTTCTTGGTCTTGGCATATTTGGTTTGATATAAATATTTACCAACCCAATTTTATTTTAAATTTAAATAACCTGATTTAATAACTTTGAAGTTTGTTTATAAAATTCATCGTAATTAGTTCTCAATCAGTTAACTTATTTCATTTAGTTGATTAAATAAATTCTTAAAATTTCCATATCAATCAATTAATTTATTTCATTTAGTTGATTAAATAAATACTTAAAATTTCCATATCAATCAGTTAGCTTATTTCATTTAGTTGATTAAATAAATTCTTAAAAATAATATATCAATCAGTTATCTCATATGTGCCAATTTTTGGAATTAGTCTAAATTAAGATTTTTATAAAAATTTAATATTTTAGTAAGATTAACATTACACAAATCTAAATTAAATATGTGTTACATATTTACGTAACTCAGATTTAATAAAAATTTTTTTAATCAATATTCAAAAATAACGGTAATAACCACTTTTTTTTCCCCATCACTCCCATCACTTTTCCATCATTTTTCTATTCACTTTTATTAAATATGACAAAAAAGTTTATAAGCAAATATAGCAGTTATTTTTAAGTGGTAAGTAAAAGAAAAAACTTAATATTTTATATACATAGATAAGACATATTTTTTCATAATTTTTAGCTTTAATTTATTGTTTTTTCTTTGTAAAAAATACATGCAAATAAAAAATAATTATGATGTAAAATAGTTGTAAAATGAATAATAAGATATTCTTTTTTTTTCAAA